AAAACTGCCGAAGAAGCATGAAAAAATCGATTATTTACACTATCGATGGGAGTTGGGAAATGCAAAGTCGGTCTTGGCCTTCCCGCTAACTTGGAGCATGTGCATGTAAATTTTGGTGCAAATCCATCGAAAATTGCGGCCGTGCATTCGTTACACACACACAAACATCCTGGCTTTTATAGATAGAGATTTCCTGATCCACTGTGCAATACATTCCTTTATCAGTCTTTTACCTGAGTCCGAAGTGAAAGGGAAAACAATTATTAGAAATTGATTGAGGATATTATATTAAGATAGCGTTTCTGAGTATGTGAGCAGTATTCATGAGAGCAACCTTTTAATTTACTTGATGCATCAGTATTCTTTTTAATCCATCACAGAATTCTTTTTATTATTGGAATAGTAGTTGTGTTTAAATGCCACACAATTACTATTTATAGACCTGAGAAATAAGAACCATTTTTTGTGACGTTATTATTGAGCATACTAGACTCTGGGTACGTCTTTGTAACTTCTCATTACTATAAACATATAAGCAATCGATGGCACGTAGGTATCTCAACTATGGTCAAACGTAAACAGGCAATCATTAAGAATTACCTGTCAGAAATTTCAGAGCAGTCAACATTATTTACACTATTTACATTCGGACTATTGCCCTCATCTTTGTTGTTATCACAGTGTTATATAGATTTTGAACACAGATCACCAGAGAGAAAACAATAACGATCCCATTTTGAATAAGTAGATCACTTGACGGTAAAGGAAATGTAATATACGGGAATTAGCGTGGCGTCTAAGCGATCACTATCCGGATTACTTCGGAAGTGTGCTTGTCGAACTCTCTGCCTCTGTGTAGAGAGGAACCCAGACGAGGCTATGCCAAAGGACAGAGTCTCGTCTGGGGTGGTAGACAGCTACCCGACCCCGTTTTTTTACGGGGTTTAGGGGATATTTTTGCCCGAGCCTAAGGGCTCGGACACCCTACAATAAACTTGGCCTTGTACCAATCCAACCGCATGGGGCGGTAGGTGAATATCATCACTATCCGGATTACTTCGGTAGTGTGCTTGTCAAACTCTCTTTCTCTGTGGAGAGAGGAACCCAGACGAGGCTGTGCCAAAGAGCAGAGTCTCGTCTGGGGGGTTTTACGGGGTTTAGGGGATATTTTTGCCCGAGCCTACGGACTCGGATGCCCCACAATAAACTCGGTCTTGTGCAACATACGACCGCGTGGGATGGTTACTGAATATCATCACTATTCAGATTACTTCGGAATTATGCCTGTCGAACTCTCTGCCTCCGGACAGAGAGGATCCCCAGACGAGGCTGTGCTGAAAGGCAGAGTCTCGTAGACAGCTACCCGACCCCGTTTGTACGGGGTCTACAGGGGCTTTTTGCCCGAGCATACGGGCTCGGATACCCCACAATAAACTTGGCCTTGTGCCGCATCCAAACCCGGGGGGTTAGTGAATATCTCACTCTGCGGATTACTATTCGGTGGTTTTTTTCAAGCGAGTATTATCGAGCAAGTACTATAAGTGCGAGTGCTATTCGAAAGCGTCTGACACCAGTATTGTTCAACGGCGTTACTATAGTTGTATCTGCGATTACAAAGTCTCTACTACAACGAGCATTACGAAAGTGACAACAAGTATTCGTTGACATCACAAAACAACGCTTCGATTGTTCTTGCCTCCGGCCTTCATCAGGTGCATATAGTTACGGGTAACATACGGGGAATTCCGAAACTTAAACTACGGGGGTAGACTATCCTCAATATACTGCATATGTCTAGGGATATCTCGTCTAGTTCCTATTGTTTTAGTACTGCTCAGTTATTGTTCGCCCTGTTTCGATCGAATCCAATTGCGCACTGAATGAACTCGCAATTCGTATGTCATCAAACCAACGCTTTAATCCAGTGGGCTGTTGTCCTGTAGGACAATTCTCCGTGGAAAACTTGGAGCCTTTGATCTAACCCGTCTGTCTACTGAGAAGTGCTGCTACTTATGTTTGTCATGCTTGACAGCAGGTATTAAGAATTCGAGATATACTCGAGTTTTAAAAATTACTTGTTTATAAACAACTGTACTCAAATTTGACTAAATTTTAAGCAACTTTACTCGTCGTTATTACGGCTTAAACACCTGAACAACATTATCTTACTATATACGATTTTTGCACTATTTTTTATATTTCAGTCATACTAGTATAATTACGTTAAAATGTCCTTCTTTTCTATTTATTAAACTCAATCATGAAGATTTAAGTAACCAATTAAGCAAGTAAAAAACCAAGTATCCATTGATAAACCAAATATCATGACGTTACATATGGTAAGAATGACAGCTACAATCTCGTAATATCTGAGAATGTCAGTGGCAGAAGTATATATACAGGTTAACTAGCAGTATGTACTCTGATGCTCTGAATGCCACAAGAGAAAGGTCTGGGTGATTTTGATAAAGCCCAAACTGTTGTTGGCAAAAAGACCAAATCAGAGCATCCCCGAAACGGCATGTTTTATCAGCTGCTGACGTTATGGTGAGTACCTATCAGCGGTAGTCCGGAGAGGGGAAAATCAGCAACCTCCGACTAAGCATTGGGCGACCAAGACTTAGTGAACGGAGGTTTTCTCTTAAGGACAGAATCAACAGATTGATGGTACTGTGGTACAATTTTCAAATAGTTTTAAGCAAGACGAAAGAAGTAATACGTCTCGGCGTACAATACATCGATTCTTAGTTCGTATAAGCCTGCTTAGCCAGGAGCTAGTCATATCACCCAAAATTTTTCATCGTCGAAAACATCTTCAATAGGGACGTAAAAGTCGAAAGAAGACTTGTATCAATTGCCTCTTCAGATGAGCCTTGCTTTCCCAGGAATAAGGTGGACACCAGTGTACGTGTGCAACTGGACCGTGAATCAAAGGAAGCAGATCACCAATTCAGATCTGTCACTATCTTATCTTTAATGGCTATTGTAACTGTTATACTGAAACACACCTATTCTATTGTTAATAGACTCTCCCACCTATAATAAGTAGGAGTAGTAGTAGCAGCAGCTCAGTGAGTTGGTCAGTCAGTCGATGTCAGACATTAAAGTATCAGCCACCACAACTAGATTGCTGCGTCATTAACTATTATATCAAGTTCCTAACGTTTTGTACGTCGAACCTTTTTAAGACCGACTTAGTGAAATACAAGCCCCCACTGTGAAACTACTCTATAACAGTAATATTAGCGGTTTCCTTATGAGAAAACATTCGACATTCATTGACCGCGTAGCCAGTGCTACGGTCGTTTTAAATTTATAAAATCTTTCTATTAAAACAATTTTTCAGGAAAATAGGTTTCTCAAGTTCAGATACTGTTATTGCTCTTAGGGGTTTCCTTCCTAGCCTTTTGCTTGAAGTAGTGTGGAACGTCAAAATCGATTATGTCATTACTTTCGCGTCGAGATACATGTGATATCCATTTGAGTTGTTGCCGTTGTTGAAAGTCCTCAAGTGATGTGGTTTCTATTACTTGATACAATTCTTTCTTTTGTGATTCTGTAGCGCCAGTGTGTAGTTCAAAGAACGATTATCCTCGTTAAGCCCTACTGGCTTTATTCGATCGAAGCTAGGTTTAACCATCGCTTTGAGAAAGCATCTGTATACAAGCCTACAGTTGAGATATTTCTGGACGTATTGGGCGCTATGCATATGAAGGTCTCAATCAAAATTTCAGCTTTTATTCCTGGTATTTACATTTAGCTGCGTGAAACAACTTAGTAGATACCACCTTTTGTTTGAACCCACCCATTTTTCTAGTGAGCAAAACTATTGAAACAGGTAACTGACAGGTGTTTTTTGTGTTGCCTTTTAGATTGTTTAAACATTAAATAGCTCTGAATGACTACTATTGGTCTTGGGTTTCACATGTAAAGACTATTTTTTGTTAAAAATGATAAAACCAACATGAAGACGAGAGAGCTGTCACTGGGAGAAAAGCAAGCCATTTTGATACTGAAAAAAGAAGAAAAATCAATCAGTCATTGGACAAACATTGGGTTTAGCCAACACAATAATTTGGATTGTTCTGAAAAAGAAATAATCTATTTGTATACTGAACAGAAGACATAGAACAGTTCTGTCAATAGCAGTTGATGACAGAAACATTGTTAGAGCCGTGAGGAAAAACCCCAAAACATTAGTCAGTGGTGAAGGTTTCACAATTCATCGTTCGAAGAAGACTTTCAGAGCAGAAATATGGAGGCTATACCACAAAATGCAAACCACTCATCAGCAGTAAGAATTGCAAGGCCAGATTGGAATTTGCAAGAAAGTACAGAGATGAATAACAAAAGTTCTGGAAGAAAGTTTTATGAACTGGTGAGACCAAGAGTAATCTAGGTAAGTAATGGAAATGCTAAAGTGTGGAGAAAGAAAAGATCTGCTTATGATCCAATGCATAGAAGTTCTTCTTTGAAGCATGATTCAATCAGTGTCTTGGCTTGGGCTTGCATAGTTGCTTCTGGAACATGCTCATTGATATTTATTGATAATGTAACTCATGATGCTAGTATCAAAATTAATTCGGAAGTCTATAGAAACATTTTGCCAACCAATTTTACAGAGAAATACATCCAAGCTTATCATGCAGCAGGACAATAACCCAAAACACATTGCAAACACAACTAAGGACTTCATCAGGGGAATAATTGAACAGTTTTAGATCTTTATCAGTCCCTTGCAATCTCTCTCTCTCTCTCTCTCTCTCTCCCTCTCTCTCTTTCTTATTTTTGACTTCTTTATCTAACTCTCTTTCTCCCTTTATACTTCTTTGTCTGTCTGTTTCTTTTTTCCCTCACTCTCTCTTTCTTTCTATGTGTTTCTCTCTCTCACTTTTTCTCTCTCTGCCTCAAAATTTGCGTTGCTTTCTCTATTTGACTCTACTCTCCTTTACTTTATTTCTCTCGCTACATTTAATATATTTTTCTATGTGTCGCTTTGTATGACTTTGTGCCTTTCTTTCTTTCTCTCTCTCTCTCTCTCTCTCTCTCTCACTCTCTGTCGCATTCTATCATTATGTCTCCTTCTGTCTCTTTATCTTTATATATTTCTTCATGTTTTCCTATCTCTTTATCGCTTTACCCCCACCCCCATTCTATTCTTTCTCTGCCTTTATTTTTCTATTTTTATCCCTGTCTGTCTCTTTCCCTTTATATATATATATATATGTGTGTGTGTGTGTGTGTGTGTGTGTGTGTGTGTGTGTGTGGCTCTCACCATGCCTACCTCCCACTCTTTTTATCTCATTCTGCCTTTCTGTCTTTATCTTTATTTTTCTCTCTCTTTGAATCTCTCTCTCTCTCTCTCTCTCTCTCTCCTATCTATCTATCTATCTATATATATATATATATATATATATATATATATATATATATATATATAATGGGTGTAACAGCAAAATTGACCAAATAGTGTAAAAGCAAAATTGTTAAATTAAGATTTGAACCGTTGTAACTTAGAAATGATTAAAGATATCTTACTGGAATTCTCCGATGTTTTTATAATACTATTGGACTCTACTTTGAGCAGTAAGAATGTATAATTACTCTCTAAGCTTAACAGAATAATCGTGATGAAATCGATCATAAACGAAAAATATGAACGAAATTTATCATAGCTAAGGATCAGAAGCTCATGAAGGATTGAAATTAAGTTCATATATATATATATATATATATATATATATATATATATATATATATATATTATATTCAGGGTCATTTTAGAACTTATTCAAGATGATCTTTGTCCTCTTTCACTCTAACTTTGTTTCATGTACAATTTTATTTGCGTCTATTTTCACTGTTCTTTGGACTGTCATTGCTGAAAATCTTCTCTCAAGTGCCAAATGTCTTATGGATTGAATTGGATCTTTTCTAATTGAACTCTTTAGCATTGAGTTGAAATGATGATCCCTTTTCAAGTTACGATCTCCTGATCCAGTTTTCTGATTCCTCTTTTTTAAGCTTATTCACCGTTCTCTTGATAGGTCTTGAGCGGACATACAAGACGGAAGCCAGAGTATGAATGTTCGTAACTTTACTGAAAGCCTGAATGAACCGTTTCCTCGCATCATTGCTCATTTGATAAGATAGTGGGACTGATACAAAACGATTTTACACTGTTCTATTTCTATATATAACTAAAAGGTTTTTCAGTGATTCTTACGATAAATGGCGTCAAGATGGCTCAAGGTCTCATTTGAAAACCTGGAAAAAAGAAACTCAATTAGTTTAGTGCTTTTTTACGCATAAACATTTTGCGGGATGGACAATTATGCAGTTACACGATTTGGACAATTTTGCTGTTACCTGGTATATATATATATATATATATATATATATTCGTTTATTTATTTTTCTTTCAGTTTCGTCTCTCTCTGTCACTAACAATCTCTCTATTTCTCTATCTTTCTTTGTCTCTTCATCTCTCTGCTTTTCTGTCTTGCTTTGTTTTTTGCATTATATATATATATATATATATATATATATATATATATATATATATATATACTTCTTTATCTCTCTTCCGTTCTCTCTTTGTCTATTTCTATCTTTTTCCTTCTCTTTCTTTTTTCTTAGTTTCTTCTCTCTGTCACTTTTTCTCAACCTCTTTATTTTTTTCTTCCCTATCTCTCTCTCTCTCTCTCTCTCTCTCTCTCTCTCTCCCTCTCTTTCTATCTGCCTTCTCCCTTTTTTGCCCTTTCCCTGTCTGTCTATTTCTTTTTGTTGCGTTTTCTTTATTGTGTCTATCTTTGTCTCTCTCTCTCTCTCTCTCTCTCTCTCTCTCTCTCTCTCTTCTCTCTTTTATCTTTTTTTTCTATCTCTTTGTCTCTTCGTCTTTTCTTCTCTCCGTCACTTTCTCAGACTCTTTGTTTCTTTATCTCTCTCTTTTTAATGTCGTTCTCTGTTTTTCTGTCTCTCTTTCTTGCTTTTATCTCTCTCTCTCTCTCTCTCTCTCTCTCTCTCTCTCTCTCTCTCTCTCTCTCTTTATATATCTGTGTATTCTCTGCCTCTCTATCCTCTTTCTGACCCTCTATTTTTCTATTTCTCGTTTTGTCTCTCTCGGTCTGTTCTTCTGTCTGTTATTTTCTCACTCTTTTTCTTTCTCTCTCTCTCTCTCTCTCTCTCTCTCTCTCTCTCTCTCGATACCTTCCCGTCTCTTTTTTTTTTCTCTTTGTCTTTCGCTATGCCTCAATCTGAACCTCTTTATCTCTCACCGTTCTCTCTCTTTCTCTCTCTGTCTATCATAGTTTGCATCTCTTTCTCTCTCCACTCTATTCAATATTTTGTATTTTTCTTATTAGCCTTTATTTCTCCAACTTAAAATAATTTTCTTAAATTGTTTTTTGTGAGTATTTTCACTTCACATTTCAATCGCGATTTATTTAAGTTTTTTATTGTTTTATTTCGAATGATTTTTTTTTCCCTGAACAACTGTTTTTTTTTTCAAATCTCTTCTTTCGTTTTTGTCAATTTCTTTCAAGATATTTCAAGCTCCCATTTCTACAAACGCCGCATCCCCCTCTTCCTTTGCCAGCCAAACATTTTTACTCCGATTTATACAAGTCTGTTTCCCTCCAAGCTATTTTTTCTTAATCTCAAACACTTTTGATGACTAAAAAATCTAATCGCAAAACAATAAATCGTGGGCGTACACATCCATAAATACTAACGCATGTGTATGTGTGTGTGGCGTGCGTGTGCGTGCACGTGCGAACATGCAATTATGTATTTGTTACACTTATATATAATGGAGAGACCTTGTTTTTAGCGAAGATACCTCTGTACGCAGTGAATCTAACACAGTACACATGCAGATGTATTCATTATGTATATAGAGACACACACGCATACGCAAAATATAATATACAGATATAAATATATATACACAGTTAAATACAAAAACACACACATATATATATATATATATATATATATATATAGATGCATTTATATGTTCACATATTATCATGAATATATCTACATGTACAACTAAAGAAATAAACATGCAAATACAAAGCACAATACACACGCGCACACACACATACACACATAAATATGAAGAAAAATATACGGAAAACAAATAAAAATCCTAATATGCAATTGTGCTGTTTTAATGTTAATATAATGTCAACGTCGGACGTTTCGGTCTAGTAGACTATCTTCAGGACATATTCATAAAACATAATTTTTCTTCATACTGTCGGATCTATATCCATATATTTGCTTACACATACATATATATATATATATATATAAGTGTCGTTAAAGATGACCGACAAAGTACTGTCATTAAGTTTTTTTTTATTTAATTTTTCTTGTGTTCGTACAAGTGTTATCTTTTGTAGACCCAAAGTGTGTAAAATCTGTTCAAATTTTCTGCATTTCCGAGCGGTTTCGGCTATACGTTTAGCCATTATCGAGGATGTGTTGATTTTACTTTTAGCTGAATGTATGGGTTGTGTTATGTATGTATCTAGAGTTACAGGGATGTTTTATTTTCCAAACACGGTCAGTACATTGTGGCCGTGTTCATAGTTAATGTTACTGAGTGTTCCCTTTTTCTTTTTTATTATTAGGGCTTCCATTATTTTTTATCTTTTTACATGTGTGTTGTGGCGTCCTCCCTCTAATGTGGCTATTATGGACTCTTCTACTTACTATAAAGTAGTAGGAAAAGTAAGCCTCGGAGGAAACGGTGATAGACCATTCGGTTGTCAAACTCTCTGCCTCGGTAGAGAGAAACCCGAACGAGGCTTTGCCGAAGGGCAGTTTCGTCCGGGGAGGTAGACAGTCCCTAAACCCGTTTATATGGGTTTGAAGGGAATATTTTTGGCCGAGCCTACGGGTTCGGAGAAACCACGATAAACTCGGCCTCGTGCCACATACGACCCACGTTGTGGGGGGGGTCGTTAAATATAACGGTGATATAGACTGTTCTACCGTGGCTGTGACTGTCCGCAGCTCCTGTCGAACTCTCTGCCTTGGGTAGAGAGGAACTCGAACGAGGCTGTGCTGGAGTGCAGAGTTTCGTCCGGGGTGGTAGACAGACCCGAACCCATTTATGCGGGTTTTACGGAGATTTTTGGTCGAGCCTACGGGCTCGGATGACCCACGTTAAACTCAGCCTTGTGCCACATGTGCCTTCGTGGTGGGAGGGGAGTTCACTGAATATAACGGTGATCTAGACTGAACGCTGGTCAACCGACACACACTCCCAAGTCGTGTAACCCACTTCTGTTGTATTTACTGTTCAATACACTATTTATCTGCAACCTCTTGTTTTGTTATTCCTTAACCAATTACTTAGCCACAACAATGTGAATGAGGTTAGTATGCTTATATTTCCTACTATGTATGTTTCGAGTGAAGTCTGGTAGGTTTTGTATGTGTTTAAATGAGTTCTAATGGAGCTGTGGTCGAATAGGTTTAACATAAGTCGTCTGGATAGGCATGTAGTAGTGTGACCGATGTAATTATTTATGAGTTTGGTTTGATCAGCAACACAGTTCTTTCAGGGGCATTTGAAATCATAAATAATGTCCATTCGTTGTAATTTTGATTTTGCAGGTGTGTTGTTATTTTTGATAAGGTTAACTGTTTTAAATTTTTTGTAATAGATGAATAATTTAATTTTCTTCTTAGTGTCGACTCGGTAGTGTATTTCTTTATGATATTTCTAAGTGAAGATCCATCTTGCTTATAGGTGACGTATATTTGGCTTTTGTAGATGTTAATGTTATTGTTTTTGTCTGTATGTTCAGTATCGTTATTAGTTACTTTGGGAAGAAATAGTCCAATGTTGTCGATGAGGAAGTTGGGAAAAACCATAGTTAACTCGTGTGTTTTGCATTGTTGAGTTCTTTAATGAAAAATAAACGAGACGATGATTTCTCGTGTGCTCTCTTTATGAAATTTTTATAACTGCTACATTATATGAAAGGGGGAATTCATTCTTAAAATTAAGGTGGCAGGAGTTTCTGCTTGTGGGTTTTTTATGTAATGAAATGGGGAAAGTTTTGTTACTGTATTTTACGAGAATGTCTAAGAATGGGAGTCTGTTCTTTTAACTCAGTTCGTAGGTAAAGTTAAGGACAGATTTTTATCAAGTGTGGTATTGAGGTTATCTATTCTTGTTTGTTTTTCGCTATAATAAAAAATATCGTCTACGTAGCTGTCATATATTTGAGGTTTAGGGACCTGTTTAAATATCATGTTTTCTACGTGGGACATGTAGTAATTAGAAAAGCAGGGGCCGAGCGGATTTCCCATACTAACACCATGGTTTGACGGATGGAGATGGAGTGGAATTATTTGTTGACATAGGGTTAAGGATTATGTCAATACTTTAATCAACGGGGACATTTGTGAATAAATTTTCAACGAGTAACGCTAATATACGCTGAGTTGGACTTATACTTTTTAGTTTTTCAAGGAATTCGTGGGTGGTTGTGATGCTGTAATTGGTGGGTAATGATGTCATTAAGGAATTTTGATGGATCGTAGGTAGGGGTTGGGATCTGGGAAATGATTGGTCGTAGCGGGTATCCGGTTTTGTGTAATTTTTATTTCTGCATAAGTGCCCTGGTTGATAGTCCCCGATGATTTTTTGGATTTTCAGGGAACCAACGTCGGCGTTATTCGATGTTATCAATTTGTTGATGGATCTTTTTAGGATCTCCGTGGAGTTTCTGCTTAATTTGGTGAATTTAGATCGATCGTCAATGATTTTTTTTTTAATTCTTTACGGTAATCGGCTTTATCCAAGATTACATATGTGTTAGCTTTGTCAGTTGATGACAATGTTGGATTTCATTTTTTAATTTTTTTACAGTGATTTTTGTTTGTTGTGAGGATATTATTATTTGTGTCCAGAAAAGACAACACTTGTACGAAGACAAGAAAAATTAAATAAAAAGCTTAATCACAGTACCTTGTCAGTCGGCTTTAACGAAACATGCATAACAGAGTGATTGCTGCCTAAATACGCAATATATATAGTGATTTTCCAAGCGTAGCTTAGATGTGACACAATGCCGAAATTAAGGGGCAACCAGTGAAGATCCAACTCATTACTCAGTCATAACTGTTCTAGCAAGACAAGCTTGCTAACCATTACACCACCACGAGGTGTCCTGCACAATATATATATATATATATATATATATATATAGGCTGTTTTTCATGCCGATCTGGAGACGCCAGCCATAAAGAGACGGAACGCATTGTCTGAACAACTTTTCCACTTTCTCGTATTATTTTCTATATATATATAAAGCAAAGACTTAGATTTAATTAACTTTACATAATAATTCATTGGCTCTAGAATGAGAAACCTTTAGACGGCCATTTCGTACTTTTCGGGACCGAGAATCGAACCCAGACCGTTACGATACAACGCAAACGTCATACCACTGGGCCAGCCCCGGTGACGAAGAGGAAACTAACTAGACTCAATATAGCACAGCTACTCCTAATTCCGGTGCTGATACCCATCCAAGTATACATAACCTACTGGAACCGTCCCCAAGAGCAACGTCTTATTTCACCAGGAGGCTCCCTCCAGGGCATTAAACCTGGATCAAGTATAGGCCTATATAAACAAAGATTGGATATTTGATAAATTTGACATAATTAATAATTCATAGAGTCTAGAATAAGAAACCTCAACGGAATGCAGAAAGCACTGGGCGGCCGCATTGTATCGTAACGGTCCGGGTTCGATTCTCGGCAGTGGATTCGCACTGCTGATGAGGCCTAAAAAGGGCGAAACAGCCGTCCACTGCTTTCTGCATTCTGTTGAGGTTTCTTATTCTGGACTCAATGAATTATTATGTGATATATATATATATATATATATATATATATATATATATATATATATATATATATATATATATGTATGTATGTATGTATGTATTATGTATGTATTTATGTGTGTGTGTGAGACGTATTTCCATATATATGTGATGACGTATTTCAAGTATATATATATATATATATATATATATATATATATATATATATGGTATATTTCCATACATAGATATGTGTGTGTGTGTGCGTGTGTGTGTAAAATAATGTGACAAAGTTGAAATGTTCAGCCAGTGCGTATGACAGGCGTCCTCAAGACGGAATGAAAGACAAACCGTGTGTAAGGAAAGTTCGTTGGAATTAAATATCTTGCTTAGATGCTACGACCGAAAATATCTAACTCACACATACACACACACATACACACACACACACATACACACTCACATACTTAGATAGATAGATAGATAGATAGATAGATAGATAGATAGATATAATAAAATAATTTATCATTTTTTCAATTCATACTTCGAGTTTCATGGAAATATCTCGCACAGAGTTTATTTTTCGGTCATATTTTCATTTCTATATATTAAAAAAATATTTTGTATGATGACGTAAATTGTTTTAAAATATTTCTCGTAATGAAATAAAATTGATTTTTGTATTATATAAAGTTTTGAATTTGTTCGCTTGTAGTTATTAAAATATATCTTAGATAAAAAGTTCGATTTTTTTCCTCTTTGAGTTTTGTTTTTAAATCGAATTTTAACATCAGATTTAGAATAAACGAAGCAAAGATTTGAGTGGTTTATCTGTAGCAAAATACTACACATTTCAAGCAATAATTTAAGCAAAAAATCCGTCTAGTTAAGCGTTTCAATTATGTGCAAGTTATAATTTATAATTTTTTGTCAATGTATTTATTTTTAATATAATGTCTTTGTTCTTATATTTGTATATAGATATATATTTTTAATCTGGTTTTATATAGCAATGTTGTTATTCGTTGAACTGTCTACATTTGCCCAGTAGTTCGTTCTTTTTGTTTAGCAATTTATTTTGCGTTTTGAAATAATTAACGTGTATTTTTCTTCTAAGCATAGTCTGTACGTTTTAATATTAGTATTGCATGGTAGTGTTCGTTTTACTATTTCCAATTTAATGTTGGTTGAGATAATTTTTCTTTTTATTCCTATATATAACTTGAAATAGTTGTGTTATTGTCTTTCGAATGGTATATTTCTTTTACAGTTCTTCTGTTCCTATTATATATTTTTCTTCTGAATAAGTATTATTTTACTGTAGCTTTATATATTGTATTAATGATTAAGTATTTATTTTCAAATGGACATTTTCTTTGATTTCTACAATTGTACAAAAGGGTATTATTGATATTATTGCTATTACTATTGTTTATATTGTTGATGCTAATATTTTCTTATCTTTGTTTCTTATATTTTCTATGTTTTCCTTTCAAATTTAACTAATTTTAGTATAATTTGTACTGTTGCTTTTAGATAACTTATACCCATATTTATTGTATCCACCCGAGTATCTTCGGCTAATTCTACAGTTGCTATCAAGGTTACTAGCTTTCCGTTTAATTAGAATTGCGAAAGTACTCATATGGATGCAATAAATGGATGGATACAATAAAAGTAATTTAGAAAGATAATTTTGATAGAAAAAATCTTGGATGGTAGAGAAAGTAAATAAAATGTTGAAGAGACAGACCTTGTTGGTATTTTTTAATAAAACTTGCATTAAATAATCTTGCTACCTAAATAAAACTTTAGTATATCCCTCAAGTGTGGAGTTTTAAGACAAGCATCTTCATTTTGTTTCATGCTGAATTGAACTTGGTACGTATATATATATATATATATATATATATATATATATATATATATATATATATATATATATATACTATTACATGCATTATGTGGTGTGTATTTTTATACAATTGCTATGCTAAATAAAATGAATTTTAAGCCATGAGCGAAATAATGTTTCGCTAACGAAAAATTGAGTTTCAAATTTCTGTTTGCAAAAAATTGCATTCGAAATGCAATCTCAAAAGATTGCATTTCGAATGCAATTTTTTGTTTTCGCTTTGCTGTATCATTCCCTCTCACGTTCTCTCTCCCTCTCTGTCTCTCTCTCTCTCTCTCTCTGTCTCTCTCTCTCTCTCTCTGTCTCTGTCTGTCTCTCTCTCTCTGTGTATATCTTTCTGTCTCTCTACCTCTTAGTCGCTTCCTTTCTGTCTTTCTCTTTATTACACTCACTCTTTCGATCTATCGCTTCCTCTCCATCACTTTCCCTCTTTCAATATCTTTCATTCTCTAACTCTTTATTTCCCTCTGCTTCTCTCTTTCCCTTTCTAGATCTTCATCTCTCTCATTCTCTCTTTCCGCTCTCTTCCTCTTCTCTCTCTCTCTCTCTCTCTCTCTCTCTCTTCGTTTTTTCTGTTTTCTTTTGAGATTGCATTTCGACTTTTTAAAAGTTTTGTTTTCGTTTCTCTTTCTCTCTCACACACTCTTAATTGCTTCTTCTTCTTCTTCTTCTTCTTCTTCTTCCTCTCTTTCTCTCTCTCTCTCTCTGTATTATTTTCTCATTATCTCTATCTATCTCTTACTTCCCTCTCTCAATATCTTCCTTTTCTATCCCTTTATTTTTATCTACTTCTCTCTTTTCTCTTCTTGTACCTTCATCTATCTCACTCTTTCTCCCTTGCCATTTTCATCCTCTCTCTCTCTCTATCTTTCTATCTAGCTATCTATCTATCTCTATTTCCCTTTTCTTTCCTATCTCCTTTTTTTAATCTATCGAGAGCTTTTTTTTATGTATGCATGTATATTTTTCATTTGTCTGGTACGCATTTATGCCACTTTTCACTGTGTGTATGTGTGCGTTGTTGTATGGAAGAACCTCTGCACCATACTCAGTAACAATTTCTATTGACTATTTCTCCTTGCAAACGCGAAAATCCGCCTGGTTGCATGTCACTTTCTATGCCGTCACGTGCTTCTCTTCGTACTGTTGACTCAGCATTCGTTATTTTATTTCTAGTTAGTATGCGCCACGCTTGGCCGATCTAGAGACCCTTAACAGCCATTCAGTTACGCACAGATTATACAGAGAACAGTTTCGGTGGAAACGCCGTAAAAAAATTTAAAAAAAAAAGTAAGATTCTTTCTTGACTCCTGGGTAAAACACAGTCTCTTCCAACATGATGCACTGGATTTATGAGTAAAAACTTATTAGTAAAATTCACTAGCTTTCCTTTTCAGAGCCGAAAAGAAAACATAATAACAGATTTCTTTCTTCTTTTTTTTTCTTTTACAAATGTCCAACCAATAAAAGTTCCAAGAGCCACTCAAAGTAGAGGGTTTACACTGTGGAGTTGTATTAACGTAAGAAAGAGCAAGGTAGTCAGCTAATTCTAAACTTAAAAGGCTAAGATTTAATTAGCGCATAAAATTTCAAAGTTCAAGCGGAGATTTTGTGTTTTTCTAGAAAATAAAATCATTCACGTTCTTCTGATTTTGTCCATAGCTGTCTGTATTTCTTAACGTTTGGGTAAGATATACTGAGGATGGGTCACATATATTTGGTATGCCCAACAGTACGTACCCGTCTTTGTAGCTTAAAGAGAAAATGCTTACAAAACAGTGCGACATCAGTGACCTGTTTGAGCGAAACATCGGGCCCAATCCATGCAGCGTAAACACACTGCACACTATTATGGAACCATTACCAGACTGTACGCTGCTTTGTTCAAAACTGAGGTCTACCATTAGTCGAAATAAGTTGGACCGTAACTCAGCGGACAATAGCACAATTTAGAAGTCATCCAGGGATCAGTTAACGATATCGCGAGACCAGGAGAAATATTCTCTCCGGTGTCATGGTGTTGTCAAAAGTATAGTGGCGGGTCTTCTTTTCCCATATCCTATGTAAGCTAACGAACGTTGAACTGACCGACTGATATTCGACCCCCCCACACACACACACACACACATATATATATATATATATATATATATTGTGTGTATTTAGGCAGCATCTTTTCATTCATACACGTTTCATTAAATAATATAGACAAGTGTTGTTTATTTATTTTATGTAAATTTTTTTCGTAGCGTCTCATAAGTTTAATAACATTATCGTTGAACGAAGAAAGAAATTCACAATATTGATACATATTTTTTTAATACAATCTAAGCTTTCGGCTTACATAAGCCATTATCAAAGATGTCAATTACAACAAATTAAGCAATATACGGACAAGACAGTGATGATAGTCTGGCATTGTTTACATAGATGATCTCTAAGCAACGATAAACACGTGCATATAAGACGCTAGAAGCGGAAATCGCACCGCATCTCATGACGTCACACATAACCACGCGAGAGTGAATTGTAAAAGTATGAAGTATGGGAAGCCGTTGGTATAAATCAATCATGGTTTTAAATAAACCGGTAATTATGATAAAAAAAATAATCGGCAAAGAAAACTGTTTAAACATTAACCAAGAATGTTTAAACATTAACTCTCTCTCTCTCTCTATATATATATATATATATATATATATATATAGAGAGAGAGAGAGAGAGAGAGAGACAGAATCTTGTCTGAGATTAATCATTTCCTTATTTGTCATAACGTAGAAAATGCGGCAGCGGGTGTGTGAAAACTGACAGAATTTTTTGTCTTAACAGGATATATATATATATATATATATATATATATATATAGAGAGAGAGAGAGAGAGAGAAAGAAAGAAAGAAAGAAAGAAAGAAAGAAAGAAAGAAAGAAAGAAAGAAAGACAGACAGACAGTGGGAAAGGCAGCGGGAGTCTGTCCTACTATTTACCTCTAGCTGGTGGGGAGAAGAGTAAGATACATACCTTTCCCAGGGGTAATAGCACGTAAGTGAATGTAATGAAGTCGACTGGAATTCGAACTCGGTTCAACAATTCATCAGTGAGAGTCTCAATCTATTACTCTAACATGCCTCTAAAAACTGCAAAATACAGGAAATTGTGGAGAGCCATGTTTACCTACGTCCTGAAAAGACATAGAAGAAGATTCATACGTGAATATCTTCCTTATTATTGAGATGGAAACTCCCAGTGAAATACAAATCTATATACACGGGTCACCTTGAACTCACTACGGTAAAAATGGTTTACGAGACGCGTTTGTTAGCCACTTTGCTACAAGAAAGATTCCAAAGGGCTGTCTTCGGTTTATATCTATGAAGTATTTTATTTCGGCTTAACCTGGTACAAAGCTATCTTCTTGAGGAATCCAATGAGAATTAAACCCATAAGAATTGTATCAGCCTACAGCTTTTTAATCGCTGTTCCATGACGAGTTCTTGTCTTTGAGGATTATTTTTTGGCGTGGGGGTGGATATTTTTTTTATTTAAATTAATTCAAAAGCTTTCTTGAAAATTTCTTGTTTTATTTTTCTTATTAACACGAAATATTTTTCAAATTTATCTTCTCGAGTTTATTTGGTTGTCTTAGTTAATGTTTAGATTATAATATTTGCCGGTTTATTTAAAACCATAATTTATTTGTTTACTAATAGACATTTCGTTCTTTTAATTTATCTCAGTGGATCTCAACCTTTTTTTACCCATGGACCCCTTTCCCCTTCTTTTTATCTTGGTGGACCCCTTCATAGCTATTGGACATAAGAACAATTTTCTATTCTTCACTAATATAAATTTTAAGGTTTTAATTATCAAAGAAATAGTATACGATTAAGCTTTATTTTTAAATGAAAACTAATTTAATACAAATAAAATATTCTACTATAATTATAATAATAATTATTATTACTATTTTTAATTAACAAAACAATTGAGTTTTGCCTGTGGACCCCCGGAAATATTACATGGACCCCTAGGGTCCATGTAGACCCCGGTTGAGAACCACTGATTTATCTAATTCTTTTATTTCCCTCTTTTAATTTATTAGCATCTACTTTGGTTTGGTTTGGTTTGGTTTGTTGTGTTTTACGGCATATCAACCTCAACAAGTTATCTAATGCCGACAACTTTTTTCCTGGTAATATTTTGTTTTGTCAAAAATCTGGTAATATTTTTTCCTCAAAAATGTAAAGCTCGTAAAATTATTTTAAAAAATGTATTGCTGGTAATATTTTTTTTCTTCAAAAATTTATTTCTGGTAATAATTTTTTACAAAGTATTTCTGGTATTAAAACCTATTTTTACATTTTTATAATGCTTTTTACCTCAGTTTCGGGGTTAACTATTTGCCCTTAGCTGGGACCCTAACAGGTGCTACCACCCTGGGTCAGGGTGGATCTGGGAACACCAGCAATTAAGAGGTGGTTCCACGCCCCTTAAAACCTCCTGATCAGAGGCCTTGCTGCTGAACGTGGTTTCTCGTCTTACCCAGGACGCGAATGTAGTTTATCGTCATACCCAGAACGGGGCATCTATTTTGCATTTTTCGATTGATCTATCATTTTATTTTATACAGTTTTTTTTTTCTGTCACAATTATCTTTCTAAATTACTTTTATTGTATCCATCCATTTATTGTATCCATCTGAGTACTTTTGCAATTCTAATTAAACAAAAAGCTTGATGGCCACTGTAGAATTAACCGAAGATACTCGGATGGATGCAATAAATATGGATATAAGTTATCTAAAAGCAACAGTACAAATTATACTAAAATTAGTTAAATTTGAAAGGAAAACAGAAAATATAAGAAAAAAAGATAAGAAAATATTAGCATTAACAATATAAACAATAGTAATAGCAATAATATCATTAATACCCTTTTGTACAATTGTAGAAATCAAAGAAAATGCCCACTTGAAAATAAATTCTTAATCATTAATACAATATATAAAGCTACAGTAAAATAATACTTATTCAGAAGAAAAATATATAATATGAACAGAAGAACTGTAAAAGAAATATACCATTCGAAAGACAATAACACAACTTTATCAAATTATTTTTATACAGTGACATTTGTTCATTACTATTTTTCTATTGTTTTTGTTATTCGTATTTTTGCTGATTTTATTTTCTTTCCATTTTTTTTCTTTTAATTATTACGCATTTGATTTATTTATTAATTTATTTTAAGAGTGACTTTTTTTTCTGAAATTGCTTTGTCATGCTCCTAACACCTTAGGGGGTAACATCATGAACAAGAAAGCAGAGCATCTCAACAACAAATTTGAGAAAGAGAGAGGAAGAAAGACGTTTCATTGTTTTAAGATAAAACGTTGTCAGTAATTCAACATCTTTTCACTTCCACGGTTTTTTGTTGTTTTGTTTTTTTTTCTTTTCTTTTCTTTTTGTTTTTTTTTTTTTTTTTTTTTTTTGTTTTTTTGCGATTAGAGTAACAGCAATTTTCTCATATTTCCAAGGAATTAACAATTTTCTCCATTCGTCTGTCGGCACCACAGAAGACCGAAATTTTGCGAGCGGCTTTTCGCGCCAAATTTATTTCCGATTTTTAAAATTGCACAATTGAATACTCTTTCAAGAATTAATTTTCTCTCCCCGTCAGCGCTGGCAAGTGTTTGCTATATCTACTCTCATCTTTTCGCCAGGAAGTGAGTCTTGTGTATATTTTTTCGGAAGTCGACCCCGCAGTCATAAAATGTAGAAACGTGAGAGAAAACACACACACACACACACACACACACACACAGCTTCTTTTAATTTTCATTTTTATTTCTCTGCTTACAAAGCAAATTTATCACAAAGAGGCAATTATATATTCTGCACAAAAGTTGTTGGAGTTTTTTTAAATAAAATCTAATGGTTTGGATGTAATGATTTGTCTACACTCAAAAAAAAACAATTTTACAAATTTTGTAGTTGGAACGTTTTAA